ATTTAATAACATTTTTACGTCTGAATAATTATAAGAAAATATTTCTAAACTGATATTTTACACACGTACACACATACAGATACATTAAATATCACTCACTTTAGTTAATATGAGGCCAATAAAGCAGAATCGAAAAACGTTATTTATGTATATCAGCAAAATATTTAATGATAGCAATTTCTTTAACATTAATGTTATGCTAAAACGTATATTTACACTTACATTAACATAACGTTATATCAAAAATAAATGACATGACAATATTTTGAATTATAAAATTTTATATTTTATTACATACAGATTAAATATTTGTATAACAAATTAAAATTTCTTTTAGCAATTTGCAATTTAATTTATAAATTCTGAAAATTGTATTTACCATATAACAGCATTGTGCTGCCGACATAAAATTTTTATCTCTTTTTTAATTGAGGAATTAACCCTAGAATTATTTTTTTGTAAGTTGTTGTTATCCCATTGGTCGTTCCGAAATATCAATATAAATCTTGAAGCAATGTATTGATACTGCGCTGTTATCAACGATATCAAATGTGTTGTATAAATGTCAACGCTGACCTTTTTTATAAAAATGTATAGATTGCTGATCAATATTAATATGCTACCCATTACAAAAATATTGCTAGAGAATGGCTCTTTGGAATAGATCGCTGGGACTTTAAAATCGGAATAGTAGAAAGTATTTTTTTCGAAGACCAATGGGAGTGACATGCAACAAAAAGAAATATAAAAAACTGTGCTAATTATTAAATAAAATTTAAATGGAGTGTCCATGCGTTTCAAATTTGTGATAACGATATTCCTCATATTTTCATCTTCAATGCTTAGGGCTTTATTAAGTTTTCGTATCAGTTGTTGTACCAGAGTTGTCTGCGAGTGGATTCGTGTGATCATAATGACAATTTCTATTATAACCACGGAAATCATCCCATCGTTTATTGCTTTTTCTTTCGGAATAAAGAAAAAGGAAGAGATTAACGAGACCGTGTAAAACAATTCGAATAACCACACAAAAATGTTGTAAATCCTCCAGAATATCGGAAATGATGAATCGCTGGTCATTGATAGCAAATTACTCGAAAGCAAGTTTAGACGAACATTTAAAGAATTTATGTTTTGGAAGTCCATAAAAGTAATATTTTCTTTTATAATAAATAGAACCTGTTCTGCAAGAAGACGTAATAATTGATATTTTTATTGATTGATTTTACTTTGTGCTAAGATCTTTTGCTATTATCGTTATTATTACATTACATATTTTATTTATGTAATTTATTTATGTAATATTACTATTTAGAAGGTGATTTGATCAAAACACTTAATTTTTTATGTAAATTTATCTCGCGCAAGAAGATTATAATTGGTAAAACATTAATACATTATAATACTACATTATATCCTTTTTTTATAAGTTAAAATTTCTTTAAAAAATAAAATAGTTTTGTTGAACACACAATTTATGATATACATGCCTTATCTCTATTTTAGTTTCTATTAATGCACGCACTCCTCTTTCTATCTAAAAGAATATACTATATTTCTGTCAATATTTGAAAATTACTTCAAACATTGGAGTAGTTCCTTTAAATTTTCTCTGTTTTTTATTAATACATTATACATCATCATATAGCAGTATAGTCAAAGAGAAGATAAATTGCTTTCTTTAGGATAACTTATCCTATAATTTTATGGAAATTTATCCTATAATTTTTGTACGAGGACATTATTGAAAATAATATAGTGGTTTAGAAGTGATGAGAAAGATAAATGTAAATTGATAAGAAATACTTTATCTACGAATATAAAGGAATTCAATGTCAGAAATAAGTCTAACAGCTATGGATAAGGAAAATAAATATATGTCTACTACGTGAACAAGAATTTGCTTGTAATTCACTGCGTTATTAAGTGACAATTATCTTACAGTACATTCTTGCGATCTTGCGAGAGACTGTAGAAGATATACATAACTTGTGCTATTTAATACATGCTACATCGAAGAGAAATATTTGCTTTAAAATATATTTTTATAAAATAATTTTGGAAAATTTATCTATATAATACTTAAGAGTTTCATCTTCATATTCGTAAGATTTTTAATACAAATTATAATTTATAATTAATTATTATTTGAACAATAATCAAATTTTAAAAATATATTAAAAAATATTAAAAGATTATATTTTTATTAAATTTTTTAAATAGCACTGAAGATTATCATTAATTAAATGTATACATATATACATATGTATATACACACACACACACACACATACACACACACACACACACACACACACACACACACACATATATGGCTACTTAATACACAAGATATAATAATATTGTTGTTATAAGTTTTACATTTATATTGTCACAAATAATTTTTATATAAAAAATTTTTATTTTTATTTAATTTTCTACTACATTGAAATCTACGCTGTGTACTAAAATTAATTTAAATAATTATTTTATTAAGTATAATAATTTACAATTATTCATTATTAAGTGTTAATAATTAAAATTATAATATTGTTATTACTAAAGTACCAGTTCTAAACTTTAAGAAAATAAAAGTTAACCCTTTAAATTTGTATTAACTTTTATATTTCGTTTGTATAATAAGAAGCATACTTACGATATGTAAAATCTGAACAGCAGTGCATTTTTTAATTAGTTCTATATAACAAAAGCGCGATTGAATACGATTGATTTAAAATCTAAAATATCATTCGAAAATTTATAATATCTATAAAAATATCTTATAGTCTTAATAAAATATTAAATAAATTAATAACATATGAAATGTTTATTAAACTCACCGCCATGAATGAGGCCAGAGATAGATTGTATTTTTCAAACGTCGAAAGTTTAATTTCTAAATTATTAGCCATTATCATAAACATAAATGTACGTTTTATAGATTCTCCATATTGGTACCATTCTTCATGAAATGCGTAATCCGTTATTTCGATACTCTGAATAAAAAATGTCATACATATACATAATATTATATTTTTACTTTGTTATTTTAATTACATATTTTTTTCGATTTGTATTCTTTTGATACATATAATACTCATGTATAAAAGTATGCATTGCAACAAAATTTACCGCATCTAATAATTGCTGCATACAATAACATAATATGTAAAGTTGCACTACTCCGCCACTTGCGTACATAAGTTGCAAGAATATTTCCCATAAAGTCACTGATGGTATCTACAATTTGTCGAAAAAGAATAGATTGATAATATACTAATTAAGAATAATTTAGGATAAAATGAGATGAAAATAATAGTATATTGCTTTTAGATATAACAAACATTCCATAAGTAGAGTAGAACTTATTGCTCACTGAAATCATCAGGATAGCAATACAGCAGAATCGAAACACGCTGATTATGTACATCAGACTAATATTTAAAGACAATAGTTCTCTCATCATTATCATTATACTAAAAGAAAAAATACCTCTTTTGATATTATATCAGAAGATAACGTGATAATTAAAGAATAATTATAATAAGAAATTTAAATTGCATACTACAGTGTAAAAGTATATAAAAAATATTTTAAAATATATATATAAAATATTTTAAAATATAATTTAATTGTTATTTAATTTAATAAAAATTATATTTTTATAAGCCTAACTCAAATATTACAAATAGATTTGATTTTGCCGAAAGATTTCTTAACATAATATGACAATTCTTTCTCTTGATAATGTCTAAAAAATAACCCACTGAATGACTGTATTATGATGCCGACATATAGCTTTTATATTTCTTTCTGCATAATAATCTTTGTTAAAATGACCGTCCTTATTCAATTTGTTATTATTACTTTGATGTAATCCATCTTGAAATATTGTTGATAGCTTCAATGCAATGTATTTATATTGTGCTGTTATCAGTAGCATCAAATTTATTATATAACTATCCATGCTCACTTTCTTTGTAAAAATATATGCGCTGCTGGTCAACACAATAATACTTCCCAATACAAAGATACCAGTCGAGAATGGTTCTTTGGAATAGACAACTGGCATCCGATAATCTACATAAAAAAAGGAACGTCTTTGAAGGATCAATATCAATGGTGTACCGCTCCATAATACTATGGACATCACGCCGGCCATCCAGTAAAATTTAAGTGGAATCTCTATTGGTTTTATGGTTGCCATCACTACGCTCCTCATCATGTCGTCTTCCATGCGTAGGATATCGTTCAGTTTCTGAATTACTTGTTGTACCAGTTCTCTTCGCGTGTGAATTCGTATGAATACAGAAACTACTTCGATGGTGATCACAATACCGATTATACCATCTTTTAAGGCTTTTTCTTTCGGTACAAAGATGCATCCAGGAATTAGCACGCATGTTTGGATTACTTCGAGTAACCATATCAGTATGCTGTATATTTTCCAAAATATCGAAAACGACGAATTATCGGCAGTCATAGGTAACAAGTTACCTGATATCATATTTAATCGAACATTTAGAGGATTTACGTTTTGAACATTCATATGTATTCGATACTGTTTTCTCGTAGTAAATATAAATTGTTCTGTAACAGAATATAAAAAAAAATAAAATATTTGATATAAAAAAATTAAAGCATTTAATTAAATTACTCTATTAAAATTTTACACAGTTTGATAGAATTATTTTATTAATTTTAAATTTACACATTGCACACATTTTTATCTTTAAATATTGTTGTCTGGCAAATTTTGAAATTGTATTATAAAATGACTATAAATTTTTGCGAATTTCTGTATTAATCAGTGTTAATAACTTATAAAATTAATAATATCTAACAATATCGATTTACTTAACTTAATGTTTTGAAGAAAATGAAGAAAATTTATCTTTATAAATAATGTTTATTACCAAACGTTTCTGAAAATATATATAGAAAGTATTCGCTTCGTGAAATCAGCATGAGGAATGCAAGGAGACTATTCTTTTAAAATTCTATTTACCTTTGTTCACTCTTACTCCTTTTTGTGTCTAGATGATAATATATAGCATTTCTACTAGAATTAGTTGTTCACAAAATTTGAACAATTTGTTATTCCTATTGAATTTATACTTTCCTTTGTTTGAATACATTATAGTGTCATATGATGATAAGCAATGTTTTTCTCCCGTGTTTCTTCTTCTAGAACGTTGTAAAGTTACTATCTATAATTTTGTAAATTGTTTGATATACAATAATTATAAAAGGAGCTTTCTCATATCCCTAAATAATAGAATGGCTTACAAATAATAGGTACAATTTCTTATATTTACATGGTTTTACTACGTATGAAACTAAAAGCCAACTATTCCTTGTGACATTCATAGAAGTCACTAATTATCTTATGCTCATTGATTATTGATTGCTATAGTACTGCAACGATCAGACAAGAAGCAATGACTAGTACATCATTGAACGAGAAAATGTGATATATCTGTTAAACTAATTTGTGGTAAAGAAAATGTTAATATTATTTTGTAAAATATTTTTGCTTCTAAATTGATAACAAAGAATTTCTAGTATATAACAAAAAACATTTCATGAAATAATCTTTCTTTATCTTAGCATATAATATTATTATATTAAATAATAAAACGTTTTTTTATTTTTGTAATATGTTCAAACTAAATAAAATAATAAATAAAATGAAATAATAATATATATTTTATTTTTTTATACATACACATATATAAAATATATATGAAAAATATGTATATTTGCATTATATATATAACTTTTATTATATTATTATATTTTATAATTTTAATTAAATTATTTATAATTTAATTTAAAAAAAAAGAAAATATAAGATATATTTAGATTTTTTGACAATTATATTTTTAAATTTCATATTCTATATTCTATATTCTTCATTCTATTAATAATTAAAATTTATTTATCACATTTTCTATTATAACGAAATCTATTACAACGAAAATTTATTTTAGAATTTATCTACTATTTACATAAATTTCTATTTAATTATGAAATTTAATGTATAGTGTAGTACTGGTTTTTTCTGAAACAAAAGTTACATTCTTTAAAAAAACGACAACTTTTATTTATTTTTATATTTTAATCATATAATAAAAAGTATACCTACTGTATGTAATTTCTGCATACTAATATATATTTTTTAATTAGTTTTAAGCAAAAGCGCGATTGAATATGATTGATTTATAATCTAGAATATTATTCAAAAATTTATAATATTTAAGAATATTAATATAATATTTTGAGATGTTAAAAAGAAATATATCAATGACGCACTTAATATTAACCTTATCGCCTTATCGCTTATATATAAATGAGGATAAAGATAGATTGTATCTTTCAAACGTTGAAAGTTTAATTTCTAAATTGTTAGCCATTATCATAAACATAAACATTTGTTTTATGGATGCTCCATATTGGTACCATTTTTATGAAATGCATAATTTGTTATTTCAATACTCTAGAACAAAATGTATGTAATAGCATAAAGATTTTTCAGCTTATATCTATGTATATATAATATATATATGTATTACAATAAATATAGATATATGTATTACAATAAAGCTTGTACCGCATCTAGTAATTGCTGCATACAATAACATAATATATACAGTTGTACTACTCCACCAATTGCATACGTAATTAAGGAGAACTTTTCCCACAAATTTATTGATGGCATCTTCTCAAGGAAATAGAACATATTAATTATATATTAACTAATAATATTTTGCAATGACATTTGCAATAATATTATATATCTTTGAGTAAGTATTTCTAAATATTAAAGATTATTACTCACTGAAATCATCATAATAGCAATGCAACAAAATCGGAAAACAGTGTTTAAATATATCAAACTAATGTTTAAAGACAATAGTTCTCTTAGCATTATCATTATACTGAAATAAAAAGTACCATATAAGACAGTATGACAAAATATTAAATAATAATTATTATTTTGTAAGTATTAGAAGATTTATTTGAAGTAGTATTAGTAGTTTATAAAAATCGCATATTGCAATACAATATATTCTTAAAAAATTTAATTGTTTATATAATTTGATAATCGTTATATTCTTTTAATGATTTATATGATCAACTCAAATAGCATCAAAGCAAAATTAATTTGAACTGAAAGTTTTCGACATAATTTCTAACGTCTTTGCTAACTTTTAAACAATAAACGTACCGAATAAATGTATTATGATGCCAACATACAGCTTTTATGTCTTTTTCTACATAATTATCTGTATTAAAATGACATTTTTCTGTAGATTAGATTTGTTGTAATTATTCTGAAGTGATTTATTTTGAAATATCGTTGATAGTTTTATTGCAGTGTATCTATATTGTGCCGTTATCAGCAGCATTAGATTTATTATGTAGCTATCCACGGCGACTTTCTTTGTAAAAATGTACACACTGCTAGTCATCACAATGACACTTCCCAACAAGAAAATGCTAGTTGAGAATGGATCTTTTGCATAGACAACTGGCATTCTATAATCTACATAGAAGAAGAAATTTCTTTTAAAGATTAATATAAACGAACAACTCCATAATATTATGCTCATCACACCGGACGTCCAATAAAATTTAAGAGGCATCTCTATCGGTTTTACAGTCACCATCACTACACTTTTCATCATCTCGTCCTTTATATGTAGGAGATCGTTCAGTTTTTGAATTAATTGTTGTATCAGTTTTTTATGCGAGTGTATACGTATGACATAAAGACTACTTCTATAATAACCACAAGACCGATCAAGCCGTCTTTTAGAGCCTTCTCTTTCGATACAACTATGCATCCAGGGAGTAAGACGCACGTTTGAACTATTTCGAGCAACCAGAATACTATATATTTTACAAAATATTGGAAACGGCGAATTGTCAGCAGTCATAGGTAACAAGTTACCTGACATTATGTCCAATCGAACATTTAGAGGATTTTACGTTTTGGAAATCCATGTACGCGATATTGATACTTTCGTAACAAATAACGATCATTATAGATATCTATAGAAAACTATTACGTTTAGCTAAAAGAGAAACAAAAAAATTAAATAATTAAGTGTAAGCAAACAAATTTAATAATTTATTATCCAAGTTTACACGATATATTTAACTTTAAATATTATTGCATAAAATATTAAAATTTAAATATTAAAATTTTATTTATATAAAATATATGCATGTGAATTTTAAGTATCTGTATTAAAAAAAAAATAATTTACTTAATTTGATGATGTTTTGAAGAAAATATTGCTTTATAGCTAACATCTATTAACGAGCGTCACTGAAAATGCACGTACAAAGTATATACTTTTTGAAACCAACAGCTAGTGCGAAAAATATGATAATGTTTCTACTTTCATATTTATTTTGTTCACTCTGATCTCTTCTAGTGTATAAACGGCAATTTATGATATTTGGATTAAAAGTTGCTCGTATTATACTTTTGAAAATTTTACGTGTTCTTTTTACAGCAGTTCGCAGGTTATTATGATCATGATCCATTATTAATGTCAAATTATAATGTTAAATTAATGTAATAGCAGTTCTTTATTACAGCGGAGCAACTTAATATAGAATTGCTTTTCCTAAGAATTTCCTTATATATGCTGTTAGAAAGGGGATTGAAGAGGTGGAAAGAGTGGATATATATATAGAGAAAAGGAATTGGTTGTCTAAATTACAGTTATATTTCGAGTAAATTGATCAATCGATTTGTGAAAAATTAATAATTTTAAAAAATTGCTTAAATTAGAGTTTATCGTAAAATTTGAATAATTTATTGAATTTATAGTTTTTATTTTGCATGAATATATTATCGTGTCGATACGATAATAAGAAAAGCAATGCTTTTCTATCATCTTATTCTAGAATTTTGCAAAGTAATTATTATCTATAATTTCGCAAAATATTAGTGTAAGATAATATAAGAGGAGCCCTCTTGTACAACTATACAGATAATAAAATGATTTATAAAGAATTTCATAAGATGTCTTATATTTTGTCTTATATTGTCGTTTAAATATGGAACTAAAGGTATTCATAATCTTCCTTGTCATTAACGTTAAGCCATAATGGTCATTATGTTATCGCTCATTCCAGCATTGTACACGCCAGAAGCTTTGTAGTATCTGAAAATATCTGACTCGTATAATATCGATAGAGAACAGTTACATATATCTGTTAAATAAAACAAATGATGCAAATGATACAAATGTTAAATGAAAATATTATGTGATAAATTTTTCTGTGGAACAATTTTTCGTGTTTATGAGTTAAATAACAAATTAATTCTAATATGTTACAAGAACATGCATATGTTTTTTTATTTTAATAGTTTATTGTCTTGTAAACTTATAAAATTTTGTAGTTTAATATGAAGAACTAATCTATTAAAAATACAGCTTTACTATCATTTAAATAAATTATGTATTATATATTATGTTTCAAAAATATCTAATACCTTCTCTCTCTCTCTCTCTCTCTCTAATGTATATATAGTATTAACATATAGTATTGATTATATTATTTAAATTGTAATTAATTACAAATGCAATTTGTCATGAATAATCTCTACTTTATTATTATTTTCTCGGTGCTATTACTAGCGTTATATATGTAGTTATAAATACTACAGTTCTTGATATTTTTACCTTAATATTTTTACTAATATTTATAAAGTTATTATTTTCAGGAACTTTCTTCGCTAAGATAAATTAATGTTCTAAAACTTAAATAGCATTACAAGATTATTAATCTTTGTTATTAATTTGGAAGTAATAAATACAGTTTTAATAGATATAATATTTTTTTTATACTTAAGATTTGACTCTTAGAAACAAAAGAGCAATCGAATATGACTGATTTAAAATCTGAAAGAAAATTTGGAGAAAATCAAATTTTAAATATTGTTGTTATATTATGCATAAAAAAAAGATAGGAAATAGAAAACCTTACCATCATAAACGAAGGCAAGGAAAGATTGAATTTTTCAAATGTTGCAACTTTGCATTCTAGATTATTGGCCATAATTATCAAAATAAATATACGTTTCATCGATGATTGAGACAAATGCCATTTTTCGTGAAATGCTTTATCTGTCATTTCTGTACTCTATTTTATAATAGATCAACATAATAAAGAAATATATAACAAGAAGTAATACTATTATTATGTATTATACAATACAATTAACAGTTTAAGCATTAAGTCTTTTTATTATTAGAATAAATAATTTTATATTATCATTTCTTTTGTTAAAAAAGATTTTGTTGTTCATAATTGTGTAATATTATGAAAATTAAATTTTTAATAATTTAGAAATTTATAAATTTCATAATAATCATAGATTAAAAACAAAATAAATAATAAATTAGATCAAAGCTTACCGCATCTAGTAATTGCTGCACACAAGAGCATAAAATGTAAAGTTGCACTACTGCACCTGACGAGTATATGACAATTAAAATTGCTTCCCAAAATGTTGTCGATGTTATCTAAAATAAAAAATTAGTTAATGCGTAATAAATAAGTTTTCACTATAATCAACTAATTTAAAACATTTGCGCAGATATCATACAAAAAAATATATAGTAAAGTTGTAAAATAGTTGTAAAAAGAAAGAGCTAGAGATTAAAAGAATTAGCTAATTATTACTCACGCTACTTAACATAATACCGAGAAAGCAGAATCGAAAGACGCTGATTACATATATTAAACTAAAATTCAAAGACAACAGTTTTTTTAATAGTGATGTTGTACTGGAAAAAAGCACATAATATAATTTATACACAATGTTATATAATTCTAAATGTATATCTCATGAAAAGTAAATTTAAAATATTTTGTAACTCAAATAAAATGTTATCACATAAAATTACAAATTTAATTAATTTATCATAATTTGATTAATCATTATTTATATTTTGAAACGAATATAAATACTACAAAGGAATGTATCATACATGATCTTTGAAATTCTTACTATATTATTTCATTGTGATGTCGACACAACGCCTTTATTTTCTTTTCTTTTCTGCGATCTAGTCCAGAGAGATGTTTTTTTTGAGATTCAACACTGTTATACTCTTCTTGAAATATTATCGCTATCTTTGTCGCGATATATCGATATTGCGCGGTCATCATTAAAATCAGATGCACCATGTACACATCAACGCCAACTTTTTTTAAGAACAAAAATATCGAGCCGATCACTAAAAACAGACTTCCTAGTAAGAAGATTTTGAATGAGAATGGCTGCACGGAGAAAACAACAGGTATTCTGTAATCTTCGTAAAAGAATAAATTCCTCTCAAATACCAACAGAAGTGGCATACAGATCCACACTATTATCGATGCCACGCCACCGGACCAGTAAAAGTTGAGCGGAACCCTTACTGGCTCCAAAGTCGCTGTCACAACATTTTTCATGGCTTCGTCGGCAGTGTGCAAAATTTCATTTAATTTTCGAATTAATTCGTACACTACATCTTTACGAGAGTGAATTCGTAGAATCATGAAAGACATTTCTGTAAAGATTGCCAAACAGATCATGCCGTCTTTCAGAGCCTTTTCTATTGATACGTAAATACATCCGGGTATTATCAGTATCGCCATGATCGTCGTAAGCATCCACGTAAAAATACTGTGTATCTTCCAGAAAAATGGAAAAGACGAATTGAGATTGGTCATCGGTAATAGATTGCCTGAGAGTAAATTTAGTCGAATATTTAGAAGATTCACATTTTGGAAGTCCATGCTCATGCGATGTCAATTGTGTGACTCTATGTATTCTTATTTTTATTTGATTTCACTTGATTTTTTGTGATGTTATATCGTGCACATGTCTCCTTTCTCTCAAGGGAACATGCGCGGAACCTCCTTTGATATTTCATTTATTCTCTTTGAATTTCTATTCGCAATGTCAGAGCTTGCATTAAAATAATGTACATCATTATGCGACAAACAACGACCTTTCATGTACTTTATTAGAACTTGTAACGTTTTGTCTTATGATTAGTCTGCATTAGAATTTATCGAATATATCGTCAAAAATATACCGCACTTTGAATAAATAATGATTCGGTAATGTTCTCTTTTTATTTTATAAAATAATATATAAGAGCTGATAAATAAATGTCACGATATTGAGAAACAAATAATCTATCAGACTACAATCTTGATTACATCTACTGAAAGAATAAGCATAATTACAGGTTTCTTTATAAACATCTGTACTCTATGAAACAACGATTATCTTATAGTTTTCTGTTAATTCTACGCATGACCGTATCACAGAACTGCAAGTTGTGTAGAGACTGTAGTACCTACTATTGTTTAACGTGTATTTTATTAATAAAGAATAACAATAATGTTTTTTAAAATAAATTAGTGTCAAATATATTAATAATATTTTATAAATTTAGTTTTTGCAGTTAGTTTTGCAGCATGTTTATGTACAATAATATTATTAAATCAATCTTTCTTTTATAATAGTATATTTTATAATCACCTTTTTTGGGCTTGTAATAAATTTATTGAATTAAGGAATCAAAATTATAAAATGGATAAAGGAATGTAATTAACCAAACGCAAACTCACGATGTAATAAATATGATAAAGTATTATTATTGCTAACTCATTTATTCTCAATGTTTTCAGTTTTGAAAGGATATTTTATATATATTGTATAATATTTAAATTTTTGTTTTGTTATTGTATAATATTTAAATATTTAAATTTTTGCTTAAATATTAGTTTTAACTAAATTGCATATTTTCTAAGATAAAAATAAAAAATGTAAATATATTACATGTTTTTAATAAAACAGTGTATGCATAAAGTTTTATTATAAATTAAGAAAACACAAAAAATAAATAGTTAAAGTATTTAAGACAAGGAAAAAAAACCTACCTTATAAATTTTTATTTTATTCTCAAAAATAAAAGGGCAAATGAGTAGGATTGATTCAAAATCTATATAAAAGAACATTTAAAAATTTAAAATAAGTTAAAGCATCAATAATTTTAATGTTGAAATTATAATAAATTTTCAAAAACATTAAAAAAATGATTTACAAAATTAGTGTTGTCATTTAATGTAAGTAGTATACGTCTTACCGTCATGAATGAAGGCAAAGACAGATTAAATTTTTCAGAAACTGAGAGTTTACACTCTAAATTATTGGTTATTATCATCATCCTGAACATATGTTTTAATAATGGTTCAGATTGGTACCATTTCTCATGGAACGCCTTATCTGATATTTCTGTACTCTAAATTTTACACATATTTAGATATTAACTTTAATTTTATAAAAATATATATAATAATGAAAAATATTTTATTTTTATTAATTAGAGACCTTAAAGAATAAATTAAGATATATTGAAGATAGAAATAATGGCAATATATTTTAATAAAGTAGTAAGATATTTTAACAAAACTTACCGCATCTAATAATTGATGAACACATAAGCATATAATATAAAGCTGTACTAAGCCACCGCATATGTACATAATGATCATAACTCCTTCTAGGAGGTCCGTCGATAATATCTAGATTTAATATATGTTGTTACATTATCATAAGTAATTTATCATTACATTATCATAATTTATCTTCAATCGTCTAGAAAATATTTTCGAAATTATCATTATTCAAATTGTACTGTATTAAATTACTCACTGCACTTATCAGCATGATATCGAGAAAACAAAAAGTGAAAATATTTGTCAAATATAATAGACTCATATTTAAAGATAATAATTTCTTTAGCATGTACGTAATTCTGAAAGGAAATGCAAAAATGCATGATATGACAGTAAATAAAGCAAATAAATATTAGAAATGGATTACAAATTTATTAAGTTATTAAGAATTAAATTAATTAATTAAAATAATAATTTAAAAATAATAAATAAATAAATAAAGTCGTAAAATTTAGAAAACGCTCACCAATTACTTACTGAACTACAGCATTGTAATGTCGACATAACGCTTTCATCTCCGTGAGTGCCAATGAATTTACAGAAGAATATTCTTGTTGGGATTCATTCTGTGGAGAGTTTTTTCGAAATATTGTTGCGAGTTTTATTGCCATATAGCGATACTGCGATGTTACTAATAATACAAAATTTATCATGTAGACATCCAAGGCAACTTTTTTTAGAAACATAAATATGCTGGCAATAGATACAATACAGTTTCCAAGGAAAAAGATTTCCGCTGAGAATGGTTCTTTTGAAAGAACTATTGGTACCCTATAATCGTCATAATAAAAATACTTTTTTTTGAAGATCAACGCAAATGATACACCACACCACACTATTAAGGATCCAGTTCCAGCGATACAATAAAATTTGAGTGGAACTTCTACCGGCTTTAATGTCGATTTCACGATGATTTTCATAGACTTGTCCTCAGCATGCAAAATTTCATTTAGCTTTTCAATCAATTGATTCACAAGATTTTTGTGCACGTGCATTTGTCGTAGTAAAAAGAATACTTCTATGGTAATCACAAGACTGACTGTTCCATCCTGTAAAGCCTTATCTTTAGGCACAGATAAGATTCCGGGAATTACGGCGCTGGTTTGAATCGCTTCGATCAGCCATATAATGGCACTATATATTCTCCAAGATACAGGAAAGAGCGAATCATTGCTGGTCATCGGTAACAAATTGCCTGAGAATTTATTTAATCTAACATTTAAAAGATTTACGCTTTGAAAATCCATGTTCTATAAAACGCTCTTTTGTGAAATTGATTTCCAATTTTATTTCTTTCTTTCCCTGTTTATGAAGTATACTAAGCAATATTTTCTTCTTAAATTATCTAGTTTCCTAAGTTAAACAAAATTTAGTTAGGTAATTTATCATTAATGCGAATTTTTTTAATTGATATGATCTGTAAATTGATATGTATAAATAAAAAAGCTACTTTCAAATCTGTACATATTTAGATATATTCATATTTACCTCTGCTCTTTCTCGACATTTCCATTAGCGTGCACATTCTATTCTTCCTTTCAGAGACATATACGGAAATTTCTATTTGAAAGTTAGTCGCAACCTTAGATACCTTATTTCTCTTGAATTCCTATATCTATCTAATTTTTATTATAACATGCATTATTATCAGGAAGATATCATTTCCCTTTTATCACAATTATAAATGATAATAGTACAAGCATGGCAAATTATTATGAATGGCAGGCTTTTATAGTCTGTTATAAAGAAAAAGAGAAGCTTATAATTATCATGACAATGTGCGATACGTTTGAAATATGTCTCCATTTTCTTTATGAAGGGAACATTTCTGATTCTAAGTTAGTTTGTATCCTTGGACTACGCAGCAACAATTATCTTATGGCATTCCAGGTTTTCTTGCAAAATCGCAAAAGAAGAAACAGTATTTGATGCGCATTTCTTTGGATTGAAGATTGATATATCTACAATATATTGCAGTAAGTTTTTTCATTCACAAATATTTTAGAAAATTTAGTTAGAAGAAAAGTTTCAATTATTCTAATTTTATTTAGCTTTATAATTAGTAATATTAAAATAATTTAAATTTTAACATTTATTTATACACTATATGAGAGATTTTCAAAATAATTTATATAACAAGATTTAAAAATTATTTACAATAAAGCTAAATATTTTTAAGTACTAGTTTATTTTACAGTAATAAACTTAATAAAAAATTAAAATTATGCGGTAAATCTCAAACATACTGTTACATGATTATTAATAACTAAAATGTTAAGTGTTCTCTTAGTATTAATTTAATAATGTGAATCTGCATTATACTTTTTGTATATACAATTTATTTTAACTATTAATTGATTTTAACTATGATTGATTATAACTAAATCTCAATTTTTTTGAAAATCAAATGTTATAATTATTAAAAGCATTAAATTTTATCTTCATTTTATTGCTAATTATTAGATTACTACAATTTATCTATAAATTTACTATTCAATAAATACAATATAATAAATTCAATAAATACTAAATAATAAATTTAATTTATTCTAATTTGAAAGAGAGAAATAATAGGAGACAAAAAATATTAATAAATTCCAACAAGAACATTATGCACCCAAAAGCATTTTAAGTACAAAATGTGTACATTGTTATACTTTAAAATAATCTAAACTTTAAGTTAATCCAAGATTCATTTCTTGATTTTAAATTATCTTAATTAAATATTTTTTATTTCTTATAATTTCTGTCAATCTGTAAATACTAAATTTAAAATGTAGACGGTGTTACTACTAATCAATCCAGCTAAATCTTAAAAACAAAAGACAGACTGAATATGATTGTTGTATGATCTGAAATATTAAACAAGTTAGAACATTTTTCAATGAAGTTTAAAAAGTACCTGATAATTTTGTAACATGTGTATAATATGATAAAATTTTATATCTTACTGCTATAAAAGATGACAGAGACAAGTTAAATTTTTCAATTGCCGAAATCTTGCATTCGATATTACTAGATATTAAAAACAGAAATATACGCTGTAGCGACGGTTTAAGCTGATACCAGCCTTCATGAAATGCTTCATCTGTTATTTCTGTGCTCTATATTTTGCATAAAAAACAATATAAAATTAATAAATAATAAATTATGTAAATATTATTTACGATTTAATTTTTTCATATCCATAATATTTTCATATTAGTTCTTATATGTTTAAATTATAAAATTTATACAATTTATTTTTTATTTCTTTATATTAATTGTTATTCGCGATATTTTTTATATAATTTTTAATATTTTTATTTTATAATATTTTTATATTTTTTTAAATCTTAAATTTTGATCAACAATTTGATGTTATTTTAATTAAATTATAATTTACTGATATTAATAGTTTCCTTCGTTTACAAATGAAAAGTATTTTAAATAGAGTAAAATAATAAATCATACCGCATCTGATAATTTTTGTATGGCATAACATATTAAGAAGAATTGTGTTAGTGAACTCATTGTAAACAAAATAATCAAGATTACAAAGAAGAAAGATTCGACTGTAACCTAAAAATTAATAATAATATATTTTTAGAAATGCTTAAATATAAGTATAGCAGTAAAAGCGATATCTTTTGTTTTTAATAATTATTTTAAAATTTTCATAAAAGCCATAATATACATATATTTTGAATAATTTGTATTGAAATTTATTTTCTAATAAAATTAAATTATAAATACTATAATTACATTTATTTCAGTACACACTTTTACTTTGAAATTTGAACGATACAAAATATTCGATACAAAAAAATTTTCCTTTGCAACTTTTATTAAAAAAAAAATTAGATTGTATAAATATTTTCTTTTATATTTTAATCTATTCTCTTAGTCCATTTACTTTTACTTATTTAATTGAATTTCAATTATTCTATTGATAATCAAGTGTCTAATAAAATGCATTCCTAATTAATAAATTCCTAATTAATAAATATTTGTTAAATAATAGTTAGTTAAAAAAAGTATTTTCGCAAAGTTAACATTTACACTTGTTACTCACTGTAGATATCATAATACCTATAAAGCAGAATTTAAAAACACTGGTCACATAAAGTAGACTAAAGTTTAGAGATAATAATTTCTTTACCAGAACTGATATGCTGAAAAATAAAATTATGCAGTATTCGAATATGTAAACATATTACTAATATGACATATTGAAAATTTATAACAAATTTATATCCAATAAATTGTAAGATTTAAAAAATGTTATAAAATTTGTTATAAATTTTTTTAATTATACATACTTAAAAATCTATAATTCAAGCATTTTTTTATAGAAAAAATACTCTTTAATTATTTAATATCTATCTTGATAATGCTTACCGTCCAATAGTCTTTTGATAACGACACAATGTTCTTAATTTTTTTTCCGCCCATTCATCCATCCTAGAACTATTTTTATCGCAATAGTTCTCCGAATTTTGAAATATCATCGCAAGTTTTACCGCTAAATATCGATATAACACAGTTAATAACAATACAAGATGTGTCATGTAGACATCAAGGCTCAATCTTTTTAAATAGCCAATTACGGCGCCGGTTGCTATAACAATGTTTGATGATACGAAAATGCTCGTAGAAAACGGCTCGGTTGAGTAAGCGGCTGGAGAATTGTAGTCGGAATAGTAAAAAGTATTCTTTTCAAAGATCAATGTAACCGGCTGTATGCCCCAAAAAAAGGTGATTATCACACTAATCATTCCATGTAATTTAAATGGCACCATTACTGGTTTCAGAACTGTGTTTGCGATGTTCTGCATCGTTTCATCCCCATCTTGCATAATATCATTCATCATCTGGATTACTTGTATTATCATCTTTTTGTGGGCATAAAGATATATCAACATAATGAAGACTTCTATGACGATCACTATGCTAATAAGACCGTCTTCTAAAGCTCTCTTCGACGCTATCAGAATAAGCCCGAGAAACATCCCCGTCAAATGGACAACTTGCAGTATTGATACAATAGCACAGTATATTTGCCAGAATATTGGAAAATTATTAGGCGTTACTGGTAACAGATTGCCCGAGAGTAAGTTTAACAGATTATTTAGTGGATTTACATTTTGAAAATTCATACTTTTAAGGTCTCTCGACATCAATTTTATTTTGATAACGACAGACTATAAAAATCGATATTTTAATTGCTCAGATCTGTATTAATTCCTTTCTTACCTTTCACTTTTCTTTTCTTTATAGACAGAAATGCCTCACGTTTCTAACTGTTCTCTTTACTTCACTTCTTCATAGAACTGTTCCATTGTCCGGCATTTATTCCGGATCCGATAATATTCTGTATTTAACCGTAATTATCAAGTTTTCTTCTATGATCATAGTGCACGTATATTAAAACTTGGATATCGTGTAGTGACAATAACAATATAGCATATTAATGGGCTAATAATTACTTTCTGAATAGTTCTGTATTTTGATGTTGAGGAAATATCGAAATGAATAGTTACAATACTAAGAAAGTAAAAGGCTTAAATATAAGACTATACTTCATTCCGATAATTACAAAGATAAATAGAATCACCGGTTTTCATGCTATATATAAAGTTTGAAAGACAACAATTATCTTATGGCACTCAGTATATAGCGTTTATGGCACGCATATCGCAAAAGAAAGGGTTGACTACATTATAAGGAAGGGTTGACTGTGAAAAATACACTAGTACACTATTTATCGCAAGGGTTGAAAGAATATGTACACTATAGACAGTACACTATTTAATACAATCTTCAATAGATGGAAAGCTGCTCGATTCAGAGTAAGTTAATGTGCTAATATTGTTTATAAATCGAACAGAGATTAGATTCTTATCATAACTGTGGAAATTTTTTTCTATTTTTGATAAAAATTCTATTGCACTGTTTTTTATTACAAGATTATTACAATATCCTTATATAAAAATTCTTTAGTAAAATAAAAATCAAATATATATATATATATATAT